ATATTGTCTGTCCCAGACAATCACTACCGCACTCGTTAAGGTCCTATCACTACAGCCCCAGAAACACCTACCGGAATGAAGCCATCCATATCGTTATCAAGCTTCACAGACACGCCCATGATCATATCGTCTTCTGGGCTGCGCTCGATTCGGCGTACTACCGCATTCATCTTCATGCCAATATTCAGCGACATCTTGTCCTCGCCCGTCAGCAGTTTGAAGGTCTCGTCCTGAGACACAGTGGTCACGTGGTTTGGTCATAGTGGATTAGGCAAGGCAATGGAACGCGTTGTGTGTGGGACTTATTCACGTTAGCATGAGCTACATTGCATGTAACGTACTTAAGTCAGAAAGAGTTAAGACTGTATGTAATTCACTTAAGTGAAGAGTTGAGCTTGCATGTATGCTGACTACGTTAAAGCGGGTGGGACCAGCCTGCCCTGCCCTGGCCCACATGTACACACCAAACTGCCTCTGCATACGCCGTACTCCGTTTGGTTTCCGTTAATAACGACTAACCAGCAACAGCCGCACCCGTACCTGTGTGAGATATTAGTTACTTCGTCTGTCTTTAAACGCCTACCTGTGTGAGGACGGTAGTTACTTTGTCTGTCTATAAACGCCTACCTGTGTGAGATGGTAATTACTTCGACTGTCTTTCAATGCCTACCTGTGTGAGATGGTAGTTACTTCGTCTGTCTTTAAACGCCTACCTGTGTGAGATGGTAGTTACTTCGTCTGTCTTTAAACGCCTACCTGTGGGAGATGGTAGTTACTTTGTCTGTCTTTAAACGCCTACCTGTGTGAGATGGTAGTTACTTCGACTGTCTTTAAACGGTGCCTTGACCTCGTCGGCTATATCTTGAAGTGTCCTCGCCTTGCGTTTACCAAACTGTTCGAAAAGCATCTTTGCGTAGCTCTCTGTGCAGAGTATAGATAGGTCAGAGCCAAGCACAGGCTAGTTAGTGAGGCTATCAAGACGTAAACGTTTTGGTCTCGGGTAAACAGTTCACGCGGTCATATTGGCAGAATCTCTGCGAACGGTATGGGCACATCTGTATAAATTGGAGTCGGGAAGGAATTAGCTACGACTTCTTCAAATAACCATGCAGCGTAACTATATCTGCATGAAAATATGGATATAGTATTTGCAAAACGTAGATATAGTATATGCAAAAACGTAGATATAGTATATTGAAAAACGTATATATAGTATCTGGAAGAACGTAGATATAGTACATGAAAAAAACGTAGAGTTTTAATGTACAGCCCTGTAAGTGATTCTACGTCTACATGAAAACGTAGATGCAGTGGCACTGAGTCAGTGCAGCGACCCGCCAGGCAACTTACTGAGATCCAGGTCTTCTAACTTCTGTGGTTTGTCGAATATGCGCGTGACCAGTTCTAACCCCGATGGCGGGTTGTCCTCGTCTCTGTGGGGAGAAGGTACACTCACTCGTCAGGGCGCAGAATAGAAGGGGTGGGAGAAGTACAGTGCGAGTGCCGGGGAAAGGGTGCGGAGTGCGAACACACATACATATCATCATGTGATATGCATGTATCTACAGCTTATACTCGCATTCATTTCTTCATGTGACATTTATGTATCTACAACTTCTACCCGCATAGGTTTCTTAGAATACGATATATATATATATATATATATATCTACAAATTCGTCCCCCACCACAGTAGTTCATATAACACACACATATATATATATATATATATACAGCTTCTACCCACATACATCTCCTTGTCCAGCGCATTCATGGCAATTTTCTCGACCTGTTTGTAAGACTCGGGATGGATACGCGACTCGTCTCGCCGGTCTGTCTGCATGTCCTTCTCATACATGTCATCGTAATCCGCCTCAATCACACAGATGAATCCCGAACAGTTCTCAAACATCTTGGCACTGTAGGTAGGTAGGTAGGTAGGGAGGGAGGGAGGGCAAGTGGTATAGGGCTCGGTGAGTTTAACCTAACTAACGCGAATGAGGGACAACAGTACTGCGGGGATGCGATACACGACCATGCACAACCGTGTACGCCTGACTATGCACAACCGTGTACGCCTGGATAGATACCGAACTACACCGACGTCGCATATAGACACAGCACTCTCTGATTAACTCATAGACCCTAACGTCTGACTAAACAATCAACCTACCCCAAGTTATTAAATACACCTACCCCATATACTGGCGTGTGATCAGCTCCTGTCGGTTGACCAGGTAGCCTCCGTCCTTCTCCAAGTTCTCGATCAGCGCATTGGCCTTTCTGGGCCCAAACCCACTGATGAACTGCAGCGTCGCCTTCTGGTTGGGGTGGTTGTATATTTCGTTGATCTTCACCCCCGTCTGTACAGATGAGTGTAGGAAAGATTATGTAAGTAGCCACAAATGTCAGCAGAGATCTATGGCATTATATAATAAGAACAGGTGGAGGTATGTTAATACACAAATATATGCATACATACAAACATACATACATGCATGCATGCATACATGCATGCATACATACATACATACAGACGTACATACATACATACATACATACATACATACATACATACATACATACATACATACATACATACATACATACATACATACAAACCTACTACATACATACATACCTACATACAAACATACATACATACATACATACATACATAC